GCGGGGCGGCCGCCGCCGGTGGGCCGCGGATGAGGAGGAGGCGGCGGCAGTGGTGGAGGAAGAGGCGGCGGCGGCGGGGATAGGGTGCCTGGAAGCGCGAGCGGGGATGGTAGGTGGTTTGGACTCGCCGGGCCGCCGTCGTTTCCAGAAAGGGTTTGACTGGAGGAACCTCTGGAGCAGCTGTGAGTTTGCGGGGGGAGTTGAGGAAAAAGGGGGGCACTGAGGATGAAGGGGCGGGGGCTGGGTACCTTGGAGAAGGGGGTGGCGGGAGGAGTGGAAATCAGCGCCTTGCCTGGACCGGTCCCTCTGGAAGAGGAGGCTGTGAGCGGACCCTGTGGCGTGTCAGCCGCAGGGCTCGGAAAACTTACCTGCCGTCCCCGCCTCCCGCCGCCAGTACCCCTCCAAGCCGGAGCTCGGGGGCCTGGGGCTGGAGCTGCCCCGGAGGGGTGCAGGCTCTGGTCTTAAGTCCCGGGTAAGCGCTGTGAGGTGGGAGTCCATGAGGAGGTGGTGGGTGAATCTCCAGCTCTCTCCGCCCTTGTTTCCCTCCCTACCCCCATCCTTCTCTTTAATCATTAACAGCCCTGAAATTAGGGGTTCAGACCCGAAGGCCTTTCTGTGCACCTTTGCCTTAAACGATAGCCATCTGTGTCTGATGTCATGGGGCTGGAGGCTCTGCCCGTGTCCCGCATAGGAAGTGGGACGGGGTGACAAATGTATTGTTTTTTCCACTCGCACTCACTCCTCGTCTTCCCCCATCCACACTCCTCTTTCCCACTTTAATTCTATGTGGCCGAGGGGCAATCGTTGTGTGTGTGTGTGTGTGTGTGTGTGTGTGTGTGTGTGTGTGTGTGTGTGTGTTTTCTTTATGGCACTTAGTACCTTGGGTTACCTCTTTTGAATTTGGTGTTCAGCCTCTATCCCAGATCTTAACTGCGAGCTTTGTAATACTTCAGTTACAGGCTGTGTCACATTGCAAGTACCTCTCAACGCTTGGTAGCTCCTCATTATAATGAGCATTTTCTTTTATGGATACTGGAATTCCAAAGCCCTTTCAAGGAATCCTAAATGGCCAAAGTAGCAAAGTCTCTTGTTCTAAGTACTTTGTGTGAGAAGTTTATATGTTGTCAACTCTTTCCGAAATGATTTGATGTTAGGCTAATTCTGGATTTTTGTGTTTCTCACCACCCACATTTCATGATGCACTTCAGAGAACAGAAAACCCCATATTACTTTTTTGTTTCTCCAATTGGACAGTTGCTCTTTTATCTTTTTTTCCCTATTTGTGTGTCTGGCACACGAGTCCTCAGTGACAAACATTAGACTTGTGCTTTTTTCATCATTATTTATTTAGCTGATTCTTTGTGGATAGGTAGTCTTAAATGAGACAATGTGATCTGTTTAGTTTTGTTTTAAAGAAGAATACAAGCCAATAACGGGTGTAAAAAAATTGTTTGGAAAAAAAGCAAAGAATGATTGGTAAAAAGGTCTCTGTTGATACTCTGTTGGTTTAAAAAAAAAATCACCAAGGAGCGCTCCTCCAGCCTGTCATGGATTTCAGAGTGAAGTGTAATGATTGTCATTTTGGTGTTGATAATATTTCTTGGAAATCCTTTGTTGAATCTGAAACTGTTTTCTAAAGAACTTTAAGAGATAGTGCCTAAATTTTAGGGGTCTTTTAATTAGAAAGTGTTCATAAATCCTCTCCCTCTGTAACTGAGCTTGCTATGCGTATGGCTAGAATTATCATCATGTTGGGAAGAGTTCCATCCTATTTGTCAGGGCTTCCAGGCTTGATAAAACAGAATATTTATGGCTTGATTGTACAAGTAACAGCGTGTTTAGATGTTTCACAGAAATGCAGTAAAAGAATGACTACTGTTCTCACCTTAATGATTTGGAACCTAGTTTGCCATTGAATGAAAAAGTCCAAAATTCACTCATTTAACAAACATTTATTGACTGGCTACTAAATAGTAGCCAATGTTTCAGGCACTGGGTGTACAAAGGTGAACACAAGCAAAAGGTCCACGCCCTTTTTTTTTTTTTTTTTGTCCTTTTTGAGACTGGTCGCACCGCACTCAGCCAGTGAGCGCTGTGAGCGCACCGGTCATCCCTATATAGGATCCGAACCCGCGGCAGGAGCGCTGCTGCGCTCCCAGCGCTGCACTCTCCCGAGTGCGCCACGGGCTTGGCCCGAGGTCCACGCTCTTTTTCAGTTTACATTGCAGCGGGGGTGGTGGGGTGGGGACAGAGAGAGATAATAAAGAAGCAAATGAATTAGATTTTGATCAAGTGCCAAAGAAAATAAGAGTGGTGTGGATAGAAAGTGACTGGGATGCAGTCAAGGAAGATCTTTCAGAGGAGGTGACACTTAAGCTGAGCTTTACATTAAACAGGACCCAGCCTTGCAGAGATGAGGGGAGGAACCGTCCAGGTTCAGAGAACAGCTAGTGCAGAAACTGGCTGGAATGAGTTTGGCAAGTTCTAGGGACTGGTGGGGAGGTGAGGTGATGGGGAGGGATGCTGCAGTAATAGCCAGAGCTTAGTGAGCGAAGGGGAGAGTGCAAAGAGACAACAAGGTCAGAGAAGTGGAGGTGGGCTCACAATAGGCAAAATTAGATCAAGAAGGAGAAGAAAATAGAAAGTGGTCCTCCTTTTTGATTAATTCTTTCCTAGGGTCTATCACTTACTATTTTTGCAGGTACTATAATAAAAAAAGACGCCCTGTTGAGATTGGGAGAGGAGGAGGCAGTGGTCATCTAGGTTTTTTCTGGCAGATAAATCTTGAGCTATGTGTTCAGAATTCAGCGGGATGTTCAATTGAGGACACACATTCTTCCTTAACGTATTTTGTCTTATATGCTTCTATTTAAAACTGCGTAATATGAATTTGTCCTAGCGTATGAATCCTCCTTTGCTTCTAGCTGTGGTTGAAGAATTAGGCAAGTGTTAATAAGATGCCCCTGTTGGTCTACAAAGATGACCATCAGGATCTAAATTTCAAGTTGTTTTTTTTGTAGGGAGGCAGAGTTTATGTTGCAATAGTTCCACTCTTGTCTGGTCCTCCTGGTGACTAATATTAAACACTCAGCTAAAATGTAGGTTGGTGCTAAAAGTTTACTCAGTGGTTTACATTAGATAAATGACCATTGTGGGGCTCAGTTCCACTGTGTCAGCATCTTTGGGCTGGCATGTAACCAAGGGATGTAACCTACTTTTACTTCTGTTGGGGGTGTTCATCTCCAGTAGTCTGATGCTTTTCAGCCTCACCTTGATCAGATTGTCCACTTAAGAGGCCTGATCAAGACTCCTCCTTGATTTGGCCCTCTTTATCCGTGTCACAGTGGACTGAAACAGAAAGAATATGCTTTTTTCTTCTTTTGACCCCTACAACAGTGACTAGTGTGTTCTTTGAATGAATTGGCCCTTTGAACCAGGCGATTGCGAGACTTAAATGTTGCTTGGGCTGTTTGCAGTAAACTCAATATTAGAAATATTAAATAAAACCTTTTAGTGTTTGGGAAAGGCAAATCAAAATTGAGGACTTGTCACCTGTTTTAGGTTCTAGTACTCTACTAATACTTATAGATGAATCCCAGAACCAACTTAATAGAGCTTCCTGGGCAGCCCTGGGATATTAAAGGTCACGAAGTGGATGGAATAGAGCCTGGTACAGAATTATGGAATTCTGACTTGAATCCAAACAGAAAGTCTTTTAGTTAGCAAGCAAATGACTAAAGTGACCAGCTAGGACCAGGCAAACAGTAGCTTCCACCCTCCAAGAGTATCTCAAAGGAATGAAGAGTTAGTTAATAGTGAGAGAGATACATATATTTGGCTTTGGCCTATGTTAAAGATTTTGGACTTTGTATGCTAATGCTGGGTATAAAATGCTCTATCTTATGTGTTATTAAGATGTCTACTATTCATCTTCATTTCAATGGTTTATTATAACTCAAATATGAAAATGTCCTGTAGGCTGAAATTTCATCAGCCAGTTTGGAGACTGGTGGCTCTTTTCTAATTTTGAAAGGGGGTGGATGGGTAGGAGGGGACTTGAACACAAGAAGAAGCCATTGACTCCTACACTGGCCACTAATTGCGTTCTAGGAAAGAATCCGCAAATCTAAGTGAATTTGGATTCTTTGAGCTGAGCTGGCCTAGGGTACCAGTGGATTTGTTTCTTAAGCTTTGTGGGCTTTTAGACAAATTCTGAAAGGTGGGCAACCTAGAAAGCTAGTTGATGCCACTTGCTATTGGAACTGTGGGTAAGTACAATTCTGCATTAGGTGACTTAAAGTTAATGTGATTTTGCTACTGGGTTTGTTTGGGTTTTTTTGGTAGCTGGTCAGCATGGGGATCTGAAACCATGACCTTGGTGTTCGTAGGCTGTGCTCTAACTTAGTTAACTGGCCACCCCACTACTGTTTTGATACATGTGCTGCAGTAAGGAGAATTAGTTGTACACTGGCTGCTAGTTGTTTTGAGGTGAAGAAGTGGTAACTCATATTGAAACAATTGTAATTACGAGGTAACTCCTGTTTTCCCAGCTCTTGATAACTTAGTTACCTCTTTGTGTCTATTTAAGATGTTGATAACAGTGAACCAGGATCTGTTCTTCAAAAATGTTGGGACAGTGTTCTGGAAGCTCTTTGCACAGAGGACCGGGGTTAATTGAGTTAGTGTCTCTCATTTCAAATCTAGTTTCATTAGTCCTTGTGTCTGTTTTTCTAGGTGTTGGGAGGTCCTGTTTCTTTTAAGGGAGAAAAGGAGATTACCACAGCACTTGACCATTTAATTAGTGAATAATTATAAATTAGAACTTATATGAATTTACTGAAATACTGAGAGAAAAGCTTGGAAGTGATATGATGAAAGTAGATGATGTCAAGGGGGAAAATGCCAAATCATCTTCTTTAAGACGTGTGCAAATGAGACCTTATTTAAATACCAAACATCAGAACAGGGAAGCTCAGTAAATCAGTCTTGAGGTGGTGATTAGCCCTTGTGGCAAAAGAAGTCACCCATGCCCAGCGCCTGGATGCCATCCTGATTGGGTGGAAAGGCAGACATCAAGTTGATGACTCCTCCTGCCTTCCTGAGAGCTTAGCTTGCTCAAGAGTGTCCATTGGACTGAATTGCAGCATGGAAGCTTATATTGCATAGCACTGGGAAGCAACAT